TCTTAACATGAATACAATATTTTTATACACAGCTTTTGCAGTGTTCTGAAGTAATGTATGCCATCTATGTTTTAGATAAACACTGATTTTTTAAAATAGTATGGTCTTTACATTTGTTCTTCACAGGCAACCGGGGGAATGCTAAACATAAGTGGGAAGACACAGAGGTTCGTGCGGTTGAAAAACACATGATGAATTTCGTCCACACATGCAAGGTACCTCAGAAAATACACTTCCTTCAGTGCATCAAGCAGAGCCAAATGTACTTGAGGACAGAAACTGGACTGGGTAAAAAATTGTCAGAAACCGGATCACTGCCTTGAAGAGACTGGCTTGTGCCAAAGAATTATTATAGTTGTTTGTGATTTTCAGCCTAGTTTAGACATTTTGACATGTTGTATTAAATTTAATCAAGTATGTAGATTTTTTTAATGATAGCACTTTTTCCTCCTCTTTCTTCTCTGCTGCTTTTCTTGATGTAATATTTGAGGTTTGAGCAGAAAAGGGACCATCTGAACATTTTTTGAAGTGATAATGTGTCAAAATAGTTTTCAATAGTTGGTATCTTATTTGCTGAAACATCAGTCATGGATCACAGAGTATGGAGAAAGACTTATGTCTTCATCTGGATTAGGCTACTGGGTAGCCAAATGAGTACCAGTTTTTCTTTTTTCTTTTTCAGACTTGCAAAACTACTTCCTCAAAAATAACTCACAGATGTGAAAGAATTTGCATTAGTTAATTAAATTCAATGCACTTTTGCATGACAGTTTGTTTTCAGTTTATATGCTGAGCATAAACTTTTATTTGCCTGTAATGATGAAGTGGCAAATGTATCAATCTGACTGATAAGTACGTTTAGTCAGTCCAAAAGTTTGCTCATCTTCTGGTAGAATAATACATTCAGCAGCCTTCGCATCAGTAGTATATGCATGGTCTATCTATGCTCTGCACACAAACATATGCATAGTAATATGGACATCGACTGAGAATAAAGTGACAAACTTTATTAACAAAACGGTGCCATCCAAAAGTTTAAGGGTTTAATATTAGGTAATGTAGCATTCTTTGACACAAGTGTGTTGTTTTTGAGAAAGTTGTTTTATAGAATAAAAAAAACACCTTGTTTGTTAACCATTTGCCTAGCCTTGACAAAGACGTCTATTTTCTACATACTTTGTGCTCTATGATGGATGTCACAGCTGACAAGGTACTAACTATTCATAACAATTTCACTGAAAATTACCTCAAAAGTTATTAGACTATCTTTTTATTTGTTGGTAAAGACACTTGCATCAATGCAGAACCCTATGCACTTAAGGACTGAAACTAGACTGGTGTTAAAAAAAATGTATCAAAAATTGAATGTGTGAATTGAATTGTGTGCCAAATAATGATTGTAGTTTTTGTTTTGATGTAATACTTGAAATGAATATGTTGAATACAAAACACTTTTTAGCCAGTGAAAGTGTATTTTTGTTGCCCAAAGCCTGTCCTGATGATTCATGCTCTTTTCTAATGTTTATTTGAACTGCAGAGCATTTCAACAGTGTTCTGAAATTTAGTAAAAAAGTTACTAAGCATTTTATTGTTGGAATTATTTTTCTTTTGCTTGTATTTCTTGGGCTGACATTAAGTCTCAAATTTCACATGATTTAATACTAAACAAATCTGAAATAAGACTATAAATTTGTTAAACATTTTGAAAAAATATTTTGATATATAAAACATAGTGATTTAACCAATCATCTGTAGCCTGAAGCAGGTCCATAAAATCCAATAGGCTGGTAACTAGTTAAAAAAATTAAACTACAAAAAATTAGGAAGAATTTATATATATAAAAATTGAAAATACATTTATTTATGATTTTCATTTATTGAAAAAAATTATTTCAAGAGGGTGATATAGAAGAATACTTTTTTGGGAAAACATCTTGTAAACATATTCAATAAATAAATATTCAATTAAAAAATCATATGCAAGTGCTGTGCTTGAGCAGAAGTAAAATGTAAAACATCAATGTCAGAGGCCCAACTATGTCAGTATGTTGTGTGAACTAAAACAGAGTTGATCACACATTAACAGAAGTGGCTCAGAATTGGTTCAAACAGTGGTCTTTGAGTTTGTGCAGATTATCTAACTTCAGACTGGATAACAGATCTATGAACCAAATTAAGGTAAAATAAAAACTACTTTTGGCACAAAGCTAAACAATAGAGTTCTTAAAGATAAAAGGAAATTTTAATCTTGATGATCTAGAGTACTTTCTGTATGTCTTCACATTTGCATTGCTGCTTGTACAGTATATTGTGCAACATTTCTTTTAGGGTTGTATTAAGCAAGGTTTCCCCAATTCAAAAGTCGAGAACAACTGGCCAGGTCAATATAAACTAATACAAGGTTGCATATTTGTAGTATACTGTTTTGTTCATATTACATATGTTTTGAAATAGCTGTAGATAAAACAATGACTAGTCCCCAAAGGGATTTAAGGTACCCAAAGGTGACTTTAATCAGTTTGTGTATCTGTGTAAAACTGTATAAAACTTTCTTAGATGAAGAACTTTACTAATTGGCTTTTCTATGTATGTGAATGTTCCTGTAAATCATCCTGAGACAACTTTGTTGTGATTTGGTGCTATATAAATTAACTGAATTGAACTGAATTGAATTAAAGTCCCCAAAGGGTCATAAGGTACCCAAAGGTGACTTTAACCAGTTTATGTATCTGTGTAAATCTTAAGTCCCCAAAGGGATATAAGGTACCCAAAGGTGACTTTAATCAGTTTGTGTATCTGTGTAAAACTCAAGTCCCCAAAGTGGACTTAAAAATTCCCTGGTCCCCAATGTGAAGGCAAAAAATAATTTTATCAAAAAAGGATTTAAACAAAATTTTCAGGTGACATTTGTTTTCTGTAAATTTAGAGTAAAAAAAAATCACATAGCAGTTTGTCCCTAACCCATTCAGAAAGGGGTGTCCCCTAAGGTAGGTAGTTAAAATATGCGCCCCCAATTTGGACATAAGCAAACCATGGTGTGTGTGTGTGTGTGTTCACGCCTCGGAGGATTCAGGCGGTTAGTTAGAAGAACATCGCAGCACCAGTGGAGCGCAGGAGATTCTGTCATGAGTCTATTTTTAATTTCTCCACATGATCTAAAGCAGCTGCTGTGACCGACAAACAATTCACGTTTTTGAAGCGTTCGTACGACTGTGATCCATCTTTCAGCGTGATTCTCGTCCCGCAGTTTTTGCTATTTCAGCAAATCATAAATCAAAATGTTCAGCTCTTTTAGGACAATCCTGTACGACTTTTGGTATTGGTGCAACTTTAGCTTTTTGAAATATTCAGCCTTTTCTGCCATTTTTCTCTTCTCATGGAAAATGAATTGAGCTCATTTTACATCCTTTAAATCTTTAGTTCAGTTTACAACCTTTTACTGCTCCTTTCACATTTTGTTCTGCTTCAGCTTCGATCAGCTTCCTTGTGCAAATTTAAACTTTTTCAGCTACTTTCAGCTAATTTGAACAGTTGTTTTTTTCCAGCAGTTTTTTTGCTCCTTTCAGATTATTTCTGCCAACTAGAACATTTTTGTGCTTTGTCTAAATTCTTTCTGCTAATTTCAGCTTGCTATGCTCTTTTCTGCTAGTTTTAGCTTTTTCTGCTATTTCAACTATTATTTAGCAGTTTTTATGCAAATTTTAGCTTTTCAGATAATTCCACATTTTTTGCACTTGTTTCAACTTTTCTCAGCGTAATTCCACAAAATGTTCTCTCTCCACTTACTACTGGCAACTTAAGCTTCTTTCTGCTTTTTTCAGCTACTTTTCAGCTGATTTTTTTTTTGTTGTTGTTGCTAATTTCATCATTATTTCAGATACTTTTCGTTTTTGTGCTCATTTCTACTTCTTTCAGCCTAAATGTTTTTTTCTGCTTTCTTTTGCTAATTTTTGCTTGTTCTACTTTTTCAGCTAGCTTAGTAACAAATTTCTAGCTAATTTCAGCTGTTTTCAGATCATTTCAAGTGTTTTGTGGTAATTTCCACTATTTTAGCCTAATTAACTTCTTTCTGCTAATGTCAGCTTGTTATGCTCCTTTCAGCTTATTTCTGCTCATTTCAGTTTTTTCAGCTACTATTTAGCTGTTTGTGCTAATTTTATTTTTTTCTGCTAATTTCACATTTTTGGCACTCATTTCAACTTTTTTCAGCTTAATTCAGTAAAATGTGCTCTCTCCACTGATAATTTAAGCTTCTTTCTGCCTTTTCAGCTACTTTTCAGCTATTGTTTTTGTTTGTTTTTGCTAATTTCAGCTTTTTTCCATATAATTTACACTTTTTGTGCTCATTTCTGCTTCTTTAAGTCTAACTGAGCAAACGTGCTTTATGCTTTCTTCTGCTAATTTAAGCTTGTTCTACATTTTCAGCTACTTTTTTTGCATTTTTTTAGCTAATTTCAGCTTTTTTAGCTAATTTTTGTGCTAATTTCTGCTTATTTAAACCTAATTCAGCAAATATGTGTTCTTTCTGCTTTCTTCTGCTAACTTGGGCTTGTTCTTTCATTTCGGCTACATTTCAGCATGTTTTTAGCTATCGGTGATTTAATTTGTTTTTCAGCAAGTTCTTCTGCAATAAGCAGCCATGCTCCATTTTCGCAGGAAATGCAATTTCTCTTGTTTTGTTGTTTTGTTGCTCGAACGTTGGAACTTTGAAAACAGTTTTATTTTGCACATCTGTTCTTTTTTAAAACAGAATTAAAGAAATGAACAGACGTCCTTCAAAGTGGAGCGGTTACATAGTTTTTGCCAGCGGTTGTTAATGAAATCATCAATGTTTTGATTTATCTATCAGAAACAGATCGATATCAGCAGATCGACACAGGTCGTGATTTGATCATTTGCAGCTGTAGATGGATCTTCTGTGGTGGCTCACCTGAGTCCTGGGAGTCTGTGCGTCGGCCCGATGGGCCTCTGATGAAGTGTGTTGTGCTTCTGATTGGCAGAGCACCGTCGACCAGCTCATTAAGAAGACCAACCTGGCGCTGGTGATCGGCACGCACTCCTGGAGGGAGCAGTTTGTGGAGGCGGTGACGGTCCGAGCAGGTGAGCTCCATTTGTGTTGCGGAGGGAACAAACAGGTGTCACGACGAGACGCCTCCCCGCAGTCAGACGCACCGAACGAGCTCCGAACGAGCGTCTGGCGGTGAATTGATCCCTGGAGTCTGACCCGATGCGAGCCAGGTTCTGTGGTTTTCCTGCTGTGCAGAATCAGAAAAGGCCCAGCAGCCTCTCTGGTACCGTCTGTGTGCGCTCGCCGTCAGCGAACATTCAGACACGGAACCTCCGGTTTGAAAAGACGAGGACTGTTGGAAATATTAAAATCTGATTGTAAGACCAGTGACTGGAGAACGTGATGGAGCTCACAGTGGGCGTTGAACTCCACCATCGTCTCGTTACAGACAGTACCGTGGAGTCCGGCGAGTCTGGATCAGTGTTGGACTTGTTGAGTCATCTGGTCCTCTTCTCTCCTCCAGGTAATGGCGATGACGATGAAGAGGGGCGGGAGGAGCGCCTCCCATCTTGTTACGACTACGTCATGCATTTCCTCACCGTCTTCTGGAAGGTTCTGTTCGCCTTCGTCCCTCCCACAGAGTACTGGAACGGCTGGGCCTGCTTCTTTGTGTCCATCAGCGTCATCGGCCTCCTCACCGCCGTCATCGGGGACTTGGCGTCGCACTTCGGCTGCACGGTGGGGCTGCGGGACACCGTGACCGCAGTGGTGTTCGTGGCTCTGGGGACTTCGATTCCAGGTGAGCAGAGATCCTCCTTCACCTGTTGGAGGTCTGGATCATTACTGCATGAATGCTGAGTCAGCATAATCTGGAACCAGGACTTTGTGCTTTCATTTTGTGCGTCTAAACCTTCGGCTCCTTCAGGTAAAAAGGAGCTACGACTTTTGTTGTTTTACCTTTTAAACTTTTTAAAATATCCAGTTTATTGAAAATAAAATTCCCAGTAGGAATACGTCATCCCTCCGTTCTTCTTTCGGCTGCTCCCTTCTTCAGGGGCTGCCACAGTGAACTAACTCGCACGAAGACTTGATTGTTTTTACGCCGGATGTCCTTCCAGATGCAACCACAGACCACCGAGCTACCACAGCCCTCTGTGTGGAGCAGAGGGCGGCATCAGGGGTACCCAGGGGAGCAGATGGGGGGGGGGTCATTTCTGAATTGCGCCGCTCAAGGTGGTTGAATGTTGGAGCAGCTGTTACTTTCATTCTGGGATGTTTCTTTTGAAAATGTTAATTCCTTTTTGTTTCTGGATGTAAATCACATTTTTTGGTTGATCACTTCCTCTGGTGTCAGGTGCTGTGCAGCTGGAAGGATTTTTACTGAAACTTTTTTGCTTTTGGACATTTGTTATGAAGCGTAACCATGACAACAAGGTGTTTTTTTTTGTTTTTTTTTACAATCGGGAGCAGCTGATTAACATCTGAAAAGCTCAAATAATACCTCAGCTACAGCCCCAAATCCCAAATGAGTTAAAAAGGAGGTGCTGTGGATGCATCTCTGTCTACTTGGTGGAGATGCTTGAGTACCTGACCGCTGAGAACCTGGAGCTGGTGGGAAACGTGGCTTTTGACTACAAGAAGACCATGATCATCCCCTGACACCTGCAGCTGACCGTCCGCAATGACAAGAAGCTCAACAAGAAGCTGGGAGGAGTGGCCATCGCTCAGGGAGGAGTTTTGCCCAAGATTCAGGTGTTCCTGCTGCCCAAGAAGACCAAGTAGATAGATCAACATCTGCAACCAGTTTCTTCAGATCAGATGGACCACTAGAGATCCTTCCTGCCCAATCACAGCCATCAACATCTGTAACAACTCTAATGAAACCGGGACCTTTGGGATTAATGAAGGATTTTGAATTGAATTAAGGGCCCACAGTGGTGCAGACCAGGGTGGAGGCAGGTGTGGGTGTTTCACATTTCCCACCCACATTTTGATGTTGTCGGTCTGGGGAGTTGATCTGGTGACCTTTCAATCATAGGCCCACCTTCTCTAACCTCTGCGCCACTACTCCCCAATTCCTTCAAAACAGTTTTTATAATGAAATCTTCTTTAGCAATGTTGCTCCCTTATGCTACTCTTAGCATTTAGCTACCATTCTGCTACTTGTAGTTTTTGCTATTGTTTTGCTTTTTTAAACTTATTGCAATCATTCCAACTGTAGCTGCTGTTTAACCGCTGTAAAAGTTAGCTTTTTTGCTACTTTTAGCTGCGTCTTTGCTATATTTGGTTCTAGTGTCAGTTGCGCTCATTTTAGTTTTACAGATTTAGCTGCACTCTCTGTTTTCATGTTACGTGTTTCAGCTTTAGCGTCTGGTTAGTTAATTCTAGTTGTCGTTTTGTTTCGGTCTCTGTTCTGATCCATTTAACTTTTGTTCTGCGTGTTTATATGATTGACAGATTATTTCATTTTACAACATCCCGACTGTTTCAGGATACGGGTTGTAGATGATTTCTTCGCCTCTTCTTCCTGCAGACACTTTTGCGAGCAAAGTGGCCGCCACACAAGACCAGCACGCCGATGCGTCTGTTGGGAACGTTACCGGCAGCAACGCCGTCAACGTGTTCCTGGGGATCGGCGTGGCGTGGTCGGTGGCCGCCGTCTACTGGAGAATCAAGGGGAAGACTTTCAACGTGGACCCGGGGTCGCTGGCGTTTTCCGTCACTCTCTTCACCATCTTCGCTTTCATCTGCATGGCCGTGCTCCTGTTCAGGCGCCGGCCCTCCATCGGCGGGGAGCTCGGCGGCCCCAGAGTTCCCCGCCTCCTGACCAGCCTGCTGTTCTTCGGCCTCTGGTTCCTCTACATCCTCTTCTCCAGCCTGGAGGCTTACTGCCACATCAGTGGCTTTTAAAGAGGAACCCGCCAACGTTCTCGAAGAACACCGCACAGCAACACACACGGCCTCAAGTTCATCTCAGCCCACACGGTTCGACATGTCTACAGGGGCGCCGTGCAGCCCAGATGCATCCTGGTCTTTAATGTAGAGCCGCTAACACACACGTCCAAACACACTTCATGTACTCCTCAGCCCATTTTAGGAAGTTCTGGGTTGTGAAGAAAAGTTTATATTTTTATGGTCGGGAGAACATTAGCAGTGATGTCTGCTCTGCTGGTTTTGTTTCAGTCAGGTGGGTTCACGGTGCAGAAGCACGTTCAGACCCAACAACACATCCATCCATGTCCCATGAACGAAGGAGAATCCCCTTTCTGTACGACAGAGTTTACAGCTTCAGGTTTTTACGTGGAGGAAGTGGAGCACAGTGTCAAAATGTTTACACTACATGTTTACCCCTGGAGGTCCTCGTCCTGAACGTCTGACCCTCAGGACAGAGGACGGCAGGCCGCCACTCACGCTGCAAGCACCACCAACAGGTGCGCATGTGAACAGGTGCGCATGTGAACAGGTGTGCATGTGAACAGGTGCACATGTGAACTGGTGTGCATGTGGACAGGTGCACATGTGAACAGGTGCACATGTGTGCATGCGAACTGGTGCACATGTGAACAGGTGCATATGTGGACAGGTGCATATGTGGACAGGTGCACATGTGGACAGGTGCACATGTGAACAGGTGCACATGTGAACAGGTGCACATGTG